AATAGTTTACATAAGTTAATAAATAGGCTAAATTACTGTTTTCGTCCATAACTTGTCTGGTTATGAATCATAACTTGACAAGTTATTGTCCATAAATCACAATTTTTGTCCATAACTTGTCTGGTTATGAACCATAACTTGACAAGTTTATCCATAACTTATCTAGTTATGAACCATAACTTGACAAGTTATGACCTATTAATTTCTATAACTAAAAGTTAGCATATATACTTCTTTAAACTTTTCATATTGACATATTTTCTACTATTTTCTTTTATTTTAATAAGTGTAAGCAAGGATATTTTGAAAAGGGACATTGAAAAAAAAAATCAATTGCACATAAGCGTTTGACAAACAGAAAAACTTTGAAACAAAAAATTGCATAAGTACATATATGAAAAAAAAAAGTTTACAATAAAAGACACGTTTGAGAAAAAAAAAATTTAGTGGCTGATTAAAAAAAATATTTAAAAGAAACATTCTTAATATAATAAGGATCGCTTAAAAAAATTAAGTACAGACACATCTTAAAAAGAGATATTTAATAAAAGAAAGCGAGAATATTCTTTGATTTTAGAATTAGATTAATTTTATTCCATTATGCATACAGCATATACGCTGTAATCATTCTTTATCCATTGCTTGTAGACTTTTGGAACAGAGTTTTATTGATTTTTTTTTTTTTGAGGAAAGTTTTATTGATTGTTTTTCTTTATTAGCTATTTAGATCATAGAGTATAATTATCGTAAGTTTGCTCTGTTCATTTCACCGATTCGAGTTTTACTACAGTAAAAAACTCTTTAGAGACAGTCACATTTAATTTTTTTACTATAACAAAAAACTCTCACATAAAGTTATATCTCAACTCGAATTAAAAACTCAAATCAGTGAATTAAACGGGCCATCAGTATAACATTATTGTAGTTATGATTTCTTATGTTGCAAACGCAATAATAAGTGATTTTTTCCTTTCAAGGTAATAATAAGTGCGAAAATAGTAGAAAATAGATCAATATGAAAAGATTAAGAAGTATATAGGCTAACTTTTAGTAATAGAAATTAATAGGCCATAACTTGTTAAGTTATGGTTTATAACCAGATAAGTTATGGACAAACTTGTCAAGTTATGGTTCATAGCCAGACAAATTATGGATAAAAAACGTGATTTATGGACAATAACTTATCAAGTTATGATTCATAACCAGACAAGTTATGATTCATAACCAGACAAGTTATGGACAAAAACAGTAATTTAGCCTATTTATTAACTTATATAATCTATTGACCTATTAATTTTAATTCATCTCAAGTCTTGATCTATTTCTCTCTTTCTCCTTAATAAGTGATTAAAAGTGTTCGTAAGGTTGTTAAGAAAACAAAACGCACAAGCGTTAATATCGATTCTATTGTAAAAAGCATGAATAGTCCCACGTCGGAAAAGTATAAATTAATTAAAGGGTTGTTTGGTTGGGAAATTCATACCCCGATTCGAATCATGATTCATGATTTGTTACAATATTTTCTCTCATAAAAAATACACATAAATCGAAAGTAATTCTAATCTTATGATTCTAATTCATGAATCAAACGTCTCCTAAGTTATTTATATGACGCTTAACGTAAGTCACGTTGTTGCCGAGCCAAGTAGCGTTGGCTCTTAACCAGGCGGGGCACACTCTCACCGAGATATCAGCACACAAGCACGTGTGGGCCTCATTACTCTACGGCCCACGGAGAGCCATTGGGTATGGCATATGGTTGAATACTCCCAACATACGTGGGCCGATAAATCTAAATCTTACAGGCCCACATCTTCAAACCATCTTTTTTACATTTGGAGATTTTTTTTTGGAAGGCTTTGAGAATTTTAAAACATGTTGTTGTCTTTTATTTCTGCCCCTTCCTGCAACTTTTTTTTTTTGGAGAATTTTCAAAAATGTTTTTTATTTCAAAAAAGTAGAGATAAAAAATTCAAAAAAAACCAATTTAAAAATAAAAAGTACAGATAAAAAAATAAAAAAAATAAAATAAGGAACTGTCACGTGCCAACTTAAAAAAAAGAGTTCTAACTTTTTTATGTTTGTTAGATTATGTATAAATATAAATAAATATAAATTGTCACTTTTACCTAAAAATATGGGAGATTTTTATAACTACTTCTCAAAATAGTACAACAGTACAACGAATTATTATTAACCCTTAAACATTACCCTTTTAGAATACATCTAGTTAAACATTCGTCAAAGATATAATATGTAAATTACCAAAATACCCTCAAAGTAAATTGATAATTTACAAAATGCTAGGTGCCTCCGTCCGGCGACTTTTTTGGCGGCCGTCTGATGGCTTTTTTGACGACTGGCCATAGTCTGCCAGACTATGACCCATAATCTGACAGGCTATGGCCCATGGTGTGTTAAGAACTTAAGACTATGACCCATAGTCTATCAAACCATGACTTATAGTCTGTGAGATTATGACCCATAATTTGACAGGTTACGCCGGTCGACGGGTCTCCGACCGTCAGCCAATCATAGTCCGTCATGCTATGACCTATAGTCTGTAAGACTATGACCCATAATTTATCAGACTATGACCCATAGTCTAATAGGTTACGTTGATTGGCAGGTCTCTAATCGCCGATTGGCCATAGTCTGTTAGACTATGACCCATAGTCTAACAGATTACGCCGGCTAGCAGGTCTCAATCGCCTAGCGTTGGCCATAGTCTGTCAGAATATGATCTATAGTATGCCAGACTATGGCTCATTTCAACCTGTTTAAATCAATTTCTAAGGCTAAAAAAGTATTGAAAAACATATAAATAATTAGCCTAACTAAGTACACCGGCCGGAGGATCTCCAATCTCTGACACCATCTATAGTCTGCCACACTATGATCCATATCAACCTGTTTAAATTAATTTTTAGGACTAAAAAAGTATTGAAAAAAATGATTAGCCTAACTAAATAGCAATTAAAAAAAAAAAAAGAGCATACAATTGATTTGGAACACTACACCTTATTGTCAATTCAAATATCTACATGTCCCTTAAAAAAAAAAAAAAAAAACTGATTATCGAAATTGCAGACAAAACTCCATACTGAAACAAAAAACAAATTATAAGGAAAAAGAACACTGAAAACAAAAGAACTTTTATGTAAACAACAACAAAAATGGAACTGACGGGATCTTCAATCTCATTGTGGAACAAAAACTGCAAATCAAAAAACAAATTATAGATCATAAAAACAACGACTCCAAAACCATAAAAACTCATATCTATAAAGACACAAAAATGGAACTGATCGGATCTTCAATCTCATTGTGGAACAAAAACTGCAAATCAAAAAACAAATTAGAGATCATAAAAACGACTCCAAAACCATAAAAAACTCATATCTATAAAGACACAAACAGATCAACAATAATTGGTCCCATAACAAATTAAAAAATCAAAATGCAAACTAGAGCCAAATAATCCAAACTAGAGCCAAAATTATCTTCATCGTTTTGGCTCATGACCTAACCAAAGCCTTAACAAAAATCAAATAACATTTTACTTTCTAACCCTGCCAGAAAGATTTTTGTGGGCCATAATTCACATGTTTGTGGATACTCAAACCAACATTTTACTTAAATAATGAAAAAAACAACCTCAGTCACACTCATTCAGAAAGCTATAGAATCTATGGAATAACAGTTCTTAAACTATTCAGTATAATGTGGGATCAAAGAATAGAAGAATTTTCACATCAAACACAAAAAAAAAAAAATTATTTCCAACTAGGAAAAGACTTGAATGAAACATGTGAAAAGTCATTCCTATAAAAGAAAGAAAGAAAGAAAGAAACATGTGAACAATCACGACTAGTACCGTATCTCCAACGTTTAAAGACTCTTCTAAGGGGCTCTCGAAGAATTTCATACTTTATTTCCAATTTGAAAGGTCGATAATGCTGATAGACAGCCACTTTGCAGCTTAGAGAAATAGAGAGAAACAGGAATTCTAGGAAATACTGTTGTATGGGGCCTATATGAATTATAAATCTTGCAAACAATGAACATTCTTCATAATCTCACTCCTACATAAGATAGGTACATAAATTTCCATGCCCACTGTAAGAAAGCTAAATACCTACCTATTCTGAAGTTCTACACCTTTAATCAAAGAAGAATTCTGCTTGTTACTGCTACATGCTTTCTCATCTGCAACCCAAGAGTAAGATTCGGATGAAGCGGCAACATTTTCCTTAGGAACACAAAATCTGGAATCATTTGCAATGAGGAAAACAAAAACAAATACAAGTGCAAAAACAAAGAACAAAAAAAAAAAAATGAAAGAATTGGACAAATGAGACTTAGGCCTCGTTCATTTAACTAAGAACCCATTTAGTTCACTCATTCAAGTTGAGATGTGATGTGAGAGCTTTTTAATGTAGTAATAAAATTAGATGCCACTATTTCTGAGAGCTTTTTACCGTAGCAAAACATAAATTCTAAACTCGAATAGGTAAAATGAACGGGGCATTCGAGTTTAAAATTTGAGTTTACTATAGTAAAAAACTCTAAAAAATAATCATATTTAATTTTATTGTTAAAATTTTCACATAGTGTCATATTTTAATTCAAATTAAAAACACGAGAACTAAACGGCCCTTAGTGTAATATACTATATGCAAAGTTTAAAAGAAACACCATTCAACATTTTTAACCTTTTTTTCTGTTTCATATTCCACAATAATTCAAGTCAAAAGACAAAAAGAGAAATAAAATGAAACTCAATTAAATCAAAATCCTTTTCCAACTCATTCTCACAGCAACAAAAAACAGTACACCAAAAATTCAAAATACACGCATGAAAAATTAGATTCTAAAACCAGAAAATTAAAGCTAAAATAGCAAAATCAGAACGAGATTCAAGCTCAAGAAACGTAAGAAAAGAGGAGAGAGGAAAGTAAACTCACCTGAAGCTACCAAAAAAAGAAACCCTCGGAGAAGTTCTCCTCTGGAGAGACCCTAGGCAAGGATCGGGCTCTGGAGATCCGTCGCGATGGCGCGGAGAGAGAGAGAGAGAGAGAGAGAGCAGCGCCTGAGGTAGGGAGAGAGTGAATTGGAGCAGGTGAGAGAGAGCGGCGGAGAGAGGGGGGAGAGAGAGAGACATGAGATGAGAAGAGCAGATAGAGGAGAGAGAGATAAATCTGCGAAGAGAGAGATGCACAGGCGAGATTCGGCTATGGCTGCCAGCGCAAACGCAGAGAGAGTAGAGAGAAGAGGAAGAGGCGACAAATAGAGAGGGAAACGGGGTTGAGCAGAGAGAGGGAGAGAGAATGAGATAGAATAAAAACAATGGGCCGGTGTGTTTTGTTCTAAAATAATTTTATTTTTATATGAAAATAAAAATAAAAATATTTTTATTTTTATTTTTATATTATTTTTAAAAATATTTTTGATAGTTTTATTCTGAGATTATTTTTAATTTAAAAAAAATTAAAATTGTGTTTGATGGTTTAATTTTTAAAAATATGTAATAATATTTAAAATAATAATATATTAAATAAACTTAATAATATTAGTGTTCCCCTCATTTTTATTTTATCTCATAAACTTTAAAAACTTCTACTTTGTTCTCCAACTTAAAATAAGTCACGCTTAAACTCTTCTGTTAAAATTTTTATTAAAACCAAATGTAAAAGAACCGTATGACCTCACTTAATTCCACTATTTTGAGGTTAAGTGGGTCTAATACAAAGTTTAAGAGGTGACACGAGAGTTTTTAAAGTTGAGAGGTAAAATGGGAATAATCTTAAATTTGAGGGGGTATTGGTGAAAATACTCCTAGAGTTTAATTAAGCAAAAAGTTAATGAGATTTTGTATACTCACCTCGAAAATTCTCTTAGCAGGGTCAATATCAATAGTAAGAGTCTCCAAATATGGGCAACTATTGAGGAAAAATCTGACCCCATAAAGTTCATTTTCATGCATTGCAGTCTTCAAGATCAAGTGTTTGACATGCAAACAAGGCTTCAATCCCAAAGGTTCTTCACTTGTGGGAATGGCCTAGAACCAAACAATAGCATCATTATAGAACATTTCTCATTCATTCGTCTATTATTATTTTACTAGATATGAAAATTGGAGCATCACATATGTCACAAAATAATGAATCTAGATCTTTAGCCTTTCTCATTGATTCACGTCTCATGTTAAACAATTTTACTAGAAATGAAAAATAATGAAGCGTTTTTTTTTTTTTTTTTAATTAGAGAAAATTGAAGCATTCAAAAGTTCTTCTTTTGTAATAACGTCATCATGAAACTATTAATCTTGAAAATTAATTTCTCAGTATCAGGTTAAACAGTAGTACTAGAAAGAAATTAAATTGAAGTATTCTCTGCTTTTTTTTTTTATTTAAAAAAAAGAGAAAATTGAAGCATTCAAAGGGTTATTCTCTAGTAATATATAATGGGAATTGTCTCTGGTCAGGCACTTGGGACGATAGTTGTATAATTCTACATAAATTGTGTATATTTATATATAAATCGTGTATATTTACATGTAAAGTCGTGTATATTTAACATGAAATACAACAAATTAGTTAATATATATTTTCATTCTATGTGTTCACTAATTGCTATAAAAAATACATGTTCTGAGGATTAATATATATTGTCATTTTTTATAACTTAACATACACGACTTTACATGTAAATATACACAATTTATATGTAAATATACACGATTTATACAGAATTATACAATTATCGTTTCGATCAATCACTTTCTAAGTACCTGACCGGAGAACTTACCTATATAATGTCCTAAAACCCAAAAACTAGTACAACAGAAAAAGTGCAAGCATAACACAAGATAATCTCTTAATCTTGAACACTTCTCATTCATTCAAGTATCATTGTTAAAAAAAAAATGCAAGAAATGAAAAATATTGAAGCATTCAAAGAGAGAGAATTTTACCTGAAGGATAAAACTACAAACTGTCAAAACCTTGGCAGCATAAAAATCGCGAAACAGCTCGGAAAGAAGAGGACCAACTTCTCCGAATTCCGACTGAAGCCCGAAATCAAGAACAACCTCGTCGATCCGCCCGGTCGAATTAAGTTCGAAAGTGCAAAATTCGCCACAATACTTGAAAAACCTTAAATTAGGCGCCTCAATCGTTATCCAACTGTGAATGACATGGCACTTATCTATGCTCAAACTCTCAAGCCTCAAACTCGCCCCTTTGATCTCAATAACCCCTGTGTTCCAACACCTCTTGAGGCTCAAACTCTCCAAAACCGCGCAGTTTTCGACTAAAGCCTTAAGCGAAGATGACGACAACTCGATCCGCCCCAAAGAAAGATGCCTTAGAGAACCAAAACTCTTGAACATAGAGGCGTCAAAATTGCAAGAGAACAACTTCAGAGCTTCAAGAGTTTTGAGGCCATAAATACTCAAGGGCAAATCAAACTTCGTGAAATATTCATCACTGACAAAAAAGCCTTCATCATTATCACTATTTTCGTCCCACATTGGGCTAGAGAAATCAAGAAGAATCACTTTGGCCTTTCTTCGAACGGCTGAAGCAATGCAACGAGTGATGTCACTAACAAAATCTTCAGGCTTGGAGAGTGTTAATGAAAGCTTATCTACTTGAGGTGATTCTTGACGATTTTTGATCAGTCGGGTTTGACTTTACATGTAAATATACACAATTTATATGTAAATATACACGATTTATATAGAATTATACAATTATCGTTTCGATCAATCACTTTCTAAGTACCTGACCGGAGAATTTACCTATATAATGTCCTAAAACCCAAAAACTAGTACAACAGAAAAAGTGCAAGCATAACACAAGATAATCTCTTAATCTTGAACACTTCTCATTCATTCAAGTATCATTGTTAAAAAAAAAATGCAAGAAATGAAAAATATTGAAGCATTCAAAGAGAGAGAATTTTACCTGAAGGATAAAACTACAAACTGTCAAAACCTTGGCAGCATAAAAATCGCGAAACAGCTCGGAAAGAAGAGGACCAACTTCTCCGAATTCCGACTGAAGCCCGAAATCAAGAACAACCTCGTCGATCCGCCCGGTCGAATTAAGTTCGAAAGTGCAAAATTCGCCACAATACTTGAAAAACCTTAAATTAGGCGCCTCAATCGTTATCCAACTGTGAATGACATGGCACTTATCTATGCTCAAACTCTCAAGCCTCAAACTCGCCCCTTTGATCTCAATAACCCCTGTGTTCCAACACCTCTTGAGGCTCAAACTCTCCAAAACCGCGCAGTTTTCGACTAAAGCCTTAAGCGAAGATGACGACAACTCGATCCGCCCCAAAGAAAGATGCCTTAGAGAACCAAAACTCTTGAACATAGAGGCGTCAAAATTGCAAGAGAACAACTTCAGAGCTTCAAGAGTTTTGAGGCCATAAACACTCAAGGGCAAATCAAACTTCGTGAAATATTCATCACTGACAAAAAAGCCTTCATCATTATCACTATTTTCGTCCCACATTGGACCAGAGAAATCAAGAAGAATCACTTTGGCCTTTCTTCGAACGGCTGAAGCAATGCAACGAGTGATGTCATTAACAAAATCTTCAGGCTTGGAGAGTGTTAATGAAAGCTTATCTACTTGAGGTGATTCTTGACGATTTTTGATCACTTGGGTTTGAGCGAATTCGGCGAAAAAATGTTTTGGGATCGTTCCTTTTCTCTCGTTTAGGTCGATTGTGGCCGTCGTGGGCAAAATGTGGCGCCAACGCTTGGAGAGGATGGAAGTTCTTGTGGCTTCTTTGAAAGGAAGGAGAGAGATGATCTCGAGGAGAAGAGAATCGGGTAAGTTTCCGATGAAGTCGAGGTTTTTGGCCATGGCTATGTGGGATTTTGGTTAGGAGTTGAAGTGTTGATTTGCAGGGAATTTTATGGAAGAAAAATCGGTTGTGAAGAGACCAACGGTCGCGACGTTTTGGAGCAGTTGTGTTCTTTTTGGCGGTCGGTCCTTTTCTTTTGGTGACTGTACAGGAAACGTCGCGCCGTTTTGAATAGAAGAAGAGTAAAGAGCCCAACAATTGCGACGTGTCACGAGTTTTTTTTTATATATTATTATTTGGGAGATTACTTGATACGCGTGTATAGGTTAAATTTTTTTGACGGTTAGATTTATGTATTTTTTAATTTTTAAAGATTTTATACAGATTTAACAGATAAAAAATCTAACTTACTAAAATGTTGACATACTGAAAAAGTCTATTACTACTACTATTACGAGTGGACTGAAAAATACAACCTAACACTAGAAAATAGAGAAAATCTAAAGTACCCCTTAATTTTACCTAAATCCAACATTTACTTCTGTGTTTTTAATAATTTAAAAAGTATCCTTTAGGTTTTTAAATTATCTTAAAATTATTCCATATGTTTTTCAAAAGAGTAAAAAAATAACCCTTTAATTTATCAACATTTTTGAAATACCAAAAATAATCTCAATAAGTATTATTTACATATTGTTTTAGATATTAATTATGTAAAACTTTTAAAACATAACTTTAACAACTAAATAACATCAAGAAAACAAAAAAGCTAACGTGTTCAAATGATCGCAGAACAACATTAAGTGTATGGACGAGACCAATTTGACAAGTCTAAATTCACAAGTTGTGTATTAATGGCAAGGGTGGCAAGGGTGCGAAATTCTGTGTGGACTTAGACTTTGATCGGTTAAGTTTTGGATTTTTTTTTTCTAAAAACGTAGAATTTATTTTATTGAAAGTTTTACGTTTTTTCTTTAAATTTAGTTTCTTAGTTTTTAGTTTTTAAGATGATGTTTAAATATTAATCATTAAGGTTATTTTTATCATTTTTAACAATATGATCACTTAAAGGGTTATATTTTACTTCTTTCAAAAAACTTAGGATATAATTTGCAATAATTTAAAGACATAAGGGATCGTTTTTAGATTATAAAAAATACAAGAGTAAGTATTGGATTTATCTAAAATTGAGGTGTACTTTTTAAATTTTCTCCTAAAAAACAAGACAAATACACTACTAAATCAGGATAAAAACCGCCATTAATCCTTAATGTACAACACAAAGAGAAACAAAACAAAAAGAAATCATAAACACTGTTAATAAGACCTCCGGCAATAAGGAAAATAAATTTAGCATTTCAAATAACTCTATATATTACAGTACAAATAAAAATACTAAGATATAAATATTTCATGCTCACATTTTTCTAATGATAAATATACCGTTGATATTAATACTACAATGGAGATAATTTTAGCAATTGTAACACCTTGAGAAATTAAATAGGATTAATTAAGATAATTAAAATTTATTAGTGTGTCTAATATGGTTTAATTAATTAATTATGTTCATTAAATGTTTCTGATATTTAAGTTTAAATGTTTCCAAGGGATTTAAACATTTTCAGTATTTATATTTTCACCTTAAAAGTATATGTAGACACATTTTCTAGTCTACTTTTATAAATATCTTTTGAAATTATCCTTACTTTTCTTTATTTCTTTTCTTTCCTTTTTCTTTCCCTTTTTCTTTCTTTCGCGTGCTCCCTCAGCTTTCTCTCACCCTCTTAAAAATTTGTCAAATTTTCTAAAATCTTGAACCAAATGAGAACTTCAAGGAGTTTTCAACGTCAAGGGAAGGATTTGGGGTAAGATTTCTGAAAAACTTTTCTTGAATATTGAATTTTTCCTTTAGAAAAACTTATTTTTAGTTCGAATTGGATTTTGATGGATTTTGGGTAAAATCATGATGAAAATTGGGGAAAATTAGTTCTTTAGACTTGATTTGTCGTTTGGAACCTGGATTTAGTAGTTTTCTTTTGAAATATCTCATATTTAAACTCAAATTTGCAAGTTTTGGAGTTTTTCTTCGCAGTTCGGTCGTTTGTCCACGCACTGCTGAACTCCACCGGTCGACCGGACAAGTCGACCAGACCAATCGACCGGTCTCTTCTTTACCGGCCGACTAGTGAAGAACAACTTCTCTATCACTGGTCGACCGGTGCACACGTGATTTGAATATGTTTTGTCTTAAAACCCTGTTTTGACCCTGATTTTCAAAGAGAACCCAAATTAGCTTCATTTGAGAACCTAAAGTATATGTATTAGCATCTTTAATCCATGTTTTGAGATCAAATCCTTGGAATGATGATTTGAAACATGAAATGATTTATGAAACTTGGAATTGGATTAAGGCACACTAATAGGAAATCAAAGTGTATAATTGAGCTTGATTTATTTTAGGAATGAGAATTGAATCCTAAAATGTTATTTTGTATCAATGCTAGTTGAGGAATATGATTGAGGGCTTTGAGAAAGCAAAAGCTAGGATAGCTCAATGCTAGCAACAGGTTTGGTACTTGAGATGTAGAATTTCTTGTCATTTTCTTTGATAGCATGTTTTAAAGAGTTTTGGCCAATGCAAATGTTTTAAAGAAAGGACATGTTTGATAAAAAAAAAGTGTTCTAACACAGCTTGATTTTAGCTATTGGAATCATAATGAACTATTTCAAAGTTTTAATGAATGATTTCATAAGATAACATATCTTGCGAATTGGTAAGTCTGCTGATGGCCTAGATAAGATATGCAGAGAGTATCCTCGAGGGCAGAACCCGAAACCCGGACCGGGCTACTACGGTGGTATTAAGGCTTGTGCTTGTGGTTGTATAAGTAATTTATCATAGTATAAATTGTTTGTTGATGCTTGTAATATGAAATTTAAAGTTTATACTTCCTTTTAGAAAAAAAGATGTTAGGTTCCGACAGTTGTGTTGTAACTGAATATCTTTATTTACTTACTTATTCATTATTTACTTGTTTATAAAGTTTATTTTAAAATACATCCTATTGGGCCTTCTGCTCATGTTTTATTTTGTTTCTATAAATATTGTTGACGGTTGGATTTCATCAACAATAAACCCGCCGGATTACCTTGGGGTTACTATTGACGGTTGGATTTCGTCAACAATAAACCCGCCGGATTACCTTGGGGTTACCCTTTGGATTACCGGCTTATAGGTTTAATGAAAGTGTGGATTCTAGTTTGATTTAAGTATTTTTGTGTTTGAATGAACTGTATGTAAATGAACAAGAAGAATTTTATAGTGGTTCACTCTATAAAATTAGAGCTACATCCACTGTGTATATTGTATTTCTTTTGTGGAGATTATAATTTACAATAAATGCTATCTCTCTCTCTTGTTCTTTCTCCTCTGGAATCTCTGGACCCCTTCCCTATTGGGGGTCCTTCTTCTTTTATACTCGGGCTTCCTTCACTGGGTGGGTTTCCTTCATAGGTAGGAACACTCAAGTGCTCTCCCTCTCTAGGCCCAAACATAGCCCACTAATTAATACTGTTCACTCAATCAATTAGTCTTCTATTACGGCTCTATGACTCTCCGTAATGCTTTTCTGTCCCCTGGGGGGGCGGTTTGTAAACTTGCAATTAATGCTGTCAGACTTCTCTTACTTTTGCACGTAACCCGTCGTGTCTTAAAGGGCCGTTCCCCTCGTCGTCAGCGCTGTTTAGCCTTTCTCGCCCTTTCTAGCGATCTTTTCTGCAGTCGAGGGATCTTGTCGTGTCAACCCAGGCGGAGTCAACCGTCGACGCCTCATGGGGTCGTCGCCCTAATTATGGACTTCATCTTCGGGCTCTACGGCTGATCTTGAGGGAAACGAAGTGTCGAGGGTTGAGTGCTTGGCGGAAAGCAAGTATAGCCAAGTGTCGTGGTGCCGTTGGTCCAGGTGTCCATCATATTTTCCCACACAAAATATTAAACTCCTTCCAGGTGACGCTAGAAGCAGTGCAGAGTAAGTAGAAATCTCTCACAACCCTAGCTCGTGTAGTTCGAGAAGGAGTTGAACTATCCATCATCCTTGTGTATAAATGTAAGGATTGTAAATTCTAAGACTTTAAACTTCGAATATCGAGACTGTGGTTGATGTCTGTAAATGTTATTTACATGTTCATGTATGTACAATATTGTATATCTTGTGAGTGAAACTCTGAATGATGCCATAGGCTTAGTTTAAAACTTGTTTTTCAAAAAAGTGTGAAAGTCTCCATCACTTTCTTGTAATCTAATTTCAGTAAAATGTGGGGCTTCTTTAGAAATTTCTTTAATATTTTACTTTTAGTTTTTATTATTATATTTTCAAATATGTAATTACTTTCTTAATTATGTTTAACTTCTAAACGAGTCTCCACGTCACTACTTCTGATTTGAGACGTGACAGCAATTCATTGTTAAAAAGGCGAAAAAATTTGTATATGTCAAGTAAAAGGAAAAAAACAAAACTCATCAACTTAAAATGTTTAGCATATTTCATTTGAAAGAAAGCTTTTTTTTTTTTTCATTTTGAAATGATGAAGGAAATCCTAAAGCACTTAAAAAAGCAAGATATATTTATTACTGTTAGAATTGGACGCAACAGTTGTCTAATACATGATATTAAGGCGAAAAACAATCTTACGTCTATTAACATCTCCCATTCCATTTTTCACATACCTATTTTTAATAAAATTTCTTATTACTAAATTAACCATTAATAAAATTACTTTTAAGGACAACAATATTTTTAAAAAAAATACTCATTACACAAGCCATCTTAAATAAGAATTATTGTCTTCTAAAAATTATTGTGCCCTACCTTTTTTAAAGGAATAGAAATGGATTCCAACACGAAGGGCTCTCTCTGTATAAAGATATGTAGTTAATTCTTTGTATAAGCTCTCTGTTTTGCATTTGGTGAATGGACCGTCATTCATGTAATTTTTGCTTCTTTAATGGGTTGACGCCTTCTTTTGTAACCTTGACCCATAAGGTACCTTTTTTTTAAAAGGAAAATTGCATTTAAATAAAACATGATAAACAATCATCTCGGTATAATACTAATGACCCATCAGAGAGATAGACGCATGCCTGAGGCCCAAAAACGGGAGAACGCCTCGGCACACTAACAACGAGCACACTTAAGGCTGAAATTAAAAAAACCCTTCCTATCGACATAGGCCTCCGAGCGTTGGAGGGACAAATCGCTAAACCCCACAAAGAGGGGACGTCTACATGGCCTAAAAAATTTCTAACCGAACCAAGACCACCCTATCAAGAGACATACAATCGACTTTAAGCCGATCACCAAAATCTAACAACAAACACCAAACCAAATTAGGGGTTAGGTGGGGAGACCACCGCCCTTATTACAAACACAAAAGTTATAAAACAAAAAAAGCTCCGACCACCAGCGTTAGAAACCTCTGGTGAAGGGTAACTGACCAAAGGACCTTCGAGGGAGATAGCCGGCTAAGGGATCTCAGCCACTAAACGCATACTCGCCTAAAAATGAAGCCCATTTGTTTGACTGCCAAACTTCAAATAGGTTTAGATCCGCCCAAATTGAGCCACCATATTGTACACCATCGCCGCTAACGAGAAGCCCATGATGAGAAGAGCCAGAAGACCGACTTTCATGGCTTGGAGGTAGCGACACGCATAGAAGCGGCCCTGAGCTCCCGCTGTTGTTCACTCTTTTTCCTCTGATTCATGTGGGAGAGACAGAAAGAAAAAACCTTAAAAATCTTGTAATTTGCTTTTTTTTTTTTACCCGTAAGGTATTTTAGTTCTGAGTTTAATGTACTTTCTAATTGCACTTTTTTTTCATATAGTTTTATAGAGTTTAAAGCAAACAACATTCTTTACCAAAAAAGATAAAAGAAAAAAAGGCGAGCATTTTGAATTTTAACTCATTAGATTAGTTAGAGGATCAATTTGTCACAAACTTAAAATTTTAGGGACCTCTAAGCTATTAACCCATACGAGGGAGTTATGTTTTAGAAGGTTCATCAATGGGAGGTCCATTAGTCGAAAAATTCCAGCGGAACCCTATAAGTACAGTCCAGTACTGAGTTCACTCGGAACCTTCATTGCAATTAAACGAGCACGCTTCCAGTTACTCAAATCTCCGTCGTTCACTTCTGGTATGTTACTTTTCATCACTATTTCCCTCGAAAATCTTTTCCCGGAAAGTTCACTCGTTTGCTGTTAGATTGTTTGTTTCGACGATTTTCGTTTTCCCCTTTCAATTCGGTTGATAAACTGGAAATGGCACCTTGAATTAGGTACGATAATGGAAAAATAATTAGTTGTGGTTTTAGAATTCTTCACCCTCTCTCTCTAGAAGAAAATTTCCTGTCTTGGAGCTTAGGGTTTCAATGGCCAAATGCCCGACTTTTATCTGTATCTATGTGTGTATACATCGCTGTTTGTTCTTGAGTATTTATGTAGACTTTTTGATATTTCTGGTTTAGATATTGTGTTGTTTTGAGTTTCTTTTTTCTTATTATCACCTAAAGTTTGAATTTTGCATATCTTGCTTTTGTGGATGGTAAAAAAGTGTAAAACAGAAACGAAAACCTAGATTTTTTGTTGGTGAAACTGAAATTTTTTTGCTCTCTCTTTTTTTATTTTTCATTTTTTATTTTTTATTTTTTTAAGCTTTGTTGTTCTGGTAGAGCCCTTATTTTGGTAGTGTTTTAATAGAAATTTATTCTCAATATTTTTCAGTGAGCAAAATCCGTTAGTGTGTTGTAAACGCACTGATGGGGCGTAATATTTCCAATCATTCAGAATCGCCGGTTAGGGGTCGGGGGTCTCCTCACAGGAAGAGCCCATCCCGAAGAGAGAGATCTCCCGCCCGACATAGGAGCTCCCATCGGGGTGGCTCTCCAGCTAGAGAGAAGCATCGTGGTGATGTTAAGTCTCCAAAGCAGGAGCGATCAGCCTCTCCCAAGTCCCGTTCCCTCTCTCCGCGGACAAAAAGGTTAAGGGGAGCTCAAGCTGAAAGAGACGTTGAGGGAGAACAAGAAAGAAGCCATGGTAGGGGGAGTAAGAGGAACTCACAAAGGGAAAGGGGTTCGGAAAAAGAAACGGGGAGTGAGAGAAAAGAGAGAAGGTCAGGAAGAGATGATGCTGACGGGAAGTCTTCAAGATCGAGACGTGGTCGTTCTACTTCTCCATCAGATCATAACCACAAGAGTCGGCGTAGATCTCACTCACCTCAACCAGCTTTAGATGGCAGATCTCGTGAAGGGGTGAAAGGAACCGAGAGGGATTATGAAAGGAACCATAGCAAAGGGAGTGATAGAGATACACAAAGGGAAAGGGGTTTAGATAGAGAAAGGGAGGGCGTGAGAACAGAGAGAAGATCTGGAAGAGATGATCCTGATCAAAGGTCTTCAAGATCCAAACACGGGCGGTCTATTTCTCCATCCGATCAGCACCATAGGAACAAGCACACATCTCGTTCACCAGCTGATGCAAGAGCTCGTGATGAGGTGTCTGGTGATATCCACTCCTTAAAAATGCCTGGTTTGAAAAATATTTTTTTTATTACTTGTTATGTTGCCAAATTATTGAGGAATGAAGCATATTGTTTTTCATAATATTGCAAGTTGACAAAAGTTTATTTTTGGAGAGAAAAGTTTATAGAAGCAGTATCACTGCGTTTTCTAATTATTGCTTAATTTGTAGTGGCCGTTTCAATTTGTATGGGAAGACACGCCTATAAGTTCTAGTTTCTTAGTTCAATCTCAGTGGCAGTCAGAGCACTAAGGCAGAATATTAAGTAAAATTGTGTAGAAGTATAAATATTCTTGTTAAAAGTTTTGCAAGTGCGTTAATAGCTGTCAATGAAATGAAAATTGAAGTCCACCGCGTGAAGACATGGAAGGGTACTTTAAAACCTTTGAATGTTTGATTAGACCAATATCAAATTGGTGGCACTTTTTTTTTCTTTTAATTTTTAATTCAAACATTGTACTACTAACTCCAGTGATATGTCCTAGCAATATCCTCCACATAATATAATCATGGACTCCTAGTCAATATATGAATTTCTGTTTGTAAACAAATGTTAGAGGCTTAGAGCTACATTTTGAAGACAGTTTGATCTGTTACTTTTAGTAGATAATGCTTGTAGATTTGCTTGATACGTATTGAAAGTGCCCAACTGTAGATTAACTCTTTGTTTCTTTTTATTTTTTAAAATCCAGGGGCCAACTTCAAGAGGAGCTGATTATGGGTGAGCTGTGGTTTGAATTTTAGATTCATGCTTGCTCTTTGATAAACAATTAAGAAATTTTGCTCACAATTTGGTGTATTACTCATCTATGTTACATTTCATTTGGTGGTTTCAAAACAATGTTAGAGCATCTCGGGCTTTGCCTTTTTTTTTTTCCCTCCATTTTTCTCTCTTAAGTTTGTTTAGACAGAACATGTAGTTTTTAGTTTGCGGCAATGATCTATCTTCTGATTAGAGGTTGCTTGCTTGGCAGGAATGATGAAATTGATTCCATCTCCAAGATGCAAGCTGCTGAGGAGGCATTGGAAGCAAAGAAAAAGGTAATGTGTTGCATACCAGCATTCTTATTGTTATGCATTATCAATATCATGACATTATCCTCTATATTCGTTATCGTTATCATGGCATTACATTACCCTTTTTTTGGGTCGCTCCGTGTGAAATTTTGGCTGAGATATATCCTCTGGTTCTTCTATTCGTTGACTGATTGCTTTGTGCCTTCAGGAACAACCTTCCTTTGAGCTTTCAGGAAAGCTTGCTGCTGAAACTAATAGGGTCAGAGGTGAGCAAAACACCATTTTCTTCGATTTTGATGCAACGATCCTTTTTTGTTTTTTTTTTTTCCCTTGCTATTTTGTACTCTATGGAATTCTCACCCTTTTCTTTTGCGAGGAGAAATAAATGAAACAAAACCACCAGCTTATGTAATGGTTGTTACTCTGTCAGGTGTAACACTACTGTTCAATGAACCCCCAGATGCACGGAAACCTAATATAAGGTGGAGGCTTTATGTTTTCAAGAATGGAGAAGTTCTTAATGGCAAGTCTTGTAGAACTTGATTTTTCCAAATGTCTAGTTGTTTTGTTTCATCTGAGAAGCATATTGTTACTCACTATTGAAGTAATAACCCACATTGAACAAGCTGCTGACTAACAGCCACTCGTGTTGAAATACTATGTTATAAAGTGACTCCTCTTCACACAAATTAAAAGTTCGTCTCAAAAGGTTGTTTCTTGTGAAATGATATGTCAATAGATACTTCATACGTGAATAATTGAAGTGTTCATGAAGATCTTTTTATTAAATTGGGCTAGGGCCTAGCAGCCTTCACAATGTGGAATCACAGCTCTTTCTTAATTCAGCTGCAACAACTTTCGTGGTGTGGTTGTTACACTGACATCCATTGTTGTTGTTGTTTTTATTTTTATTTTGTTATTTTAAATCAGCATACTGACATCCATTGTTGCGTGGAAATCTTTTTGTTGCTGCTTTCTTATAATTGACGTATGATTTACAGAACCCCTTTACATACATCGTCAAAGCTGTTACCTTTTTGGGAGGGAAAGGAGGGTGGCGGATATTCCGACAGACCACCCGTCCTGCAGCAAGCAACATGCCATAATACAATTTCGGTAATTTATAACAAGAAGAACTGTTTATGTTCTCTTACATAGTGGTTTCGGGAGTAATTTTTCCTTTTCTACCATGGCAGGCAAGTCGAGAAGGAGAAGCTTGATGGTATGTTAGCGAAGCAGATAAGGTTAGACAACGTTGATTCCGTCATCAATTTCAATATTTGGGAAATGGATAATATCAGTTTGTCATCCAACCTTTTCTGTTTGCACCTTTATTGCTTGCAGGCCTTACCTAATGGATCTTGGAAGCACAAACAAAACCTTCCTTAATGTAAGTGGCTCATATATATAATGTCTTCTCCGCTTGTAATGAACTGTTAATTCATTTTTATGCTATGTTTAATCATTTGGTTGGTTGTATTCAACGTCTTCTTTTGCCAAATGCAGGAAGTTGCCATTGAACCTCAACGCTACTATGAGCTTTTTGAGAAAGATACTATAAAATTTGGTAACAGTAGGTAAGCACTAAGCAACAAATCAATATCCAACTTTCCCTCTACCGAAAAAGTTTTATTGCGAAATATTTCCTTTTAATTTTCAAATGGCTGAATTAGGAATCAAAATTACTGTTTCCTAAATGATCTCTTCTGTTGGTTTCTTTGCGACGCACTAGTTTGGTTTCTGCTCTGGTTTTCCTTTGTCACAATTCCCGTTCCGATTTCTAGCGTAATACTACTGATCTTATTACAGTTCTTTTGAATTGTTTCTTACCTTCATTGCTTGCAGCCGAGAGTACGTACTACTGCATGAGAACTCTACCCAATGAGAAAGATGAAATGGCTTCACCAAGGGATAACCTTTCTTAGCATTGCGACCTGGCCATGTTTTCTTCGTGTGCAAGGAATGTTTCAGTGGCATCATGATGGTTTTTGTTCTTTACCCATCGTTTTGAATTCTCTTTCTTCTGGTGCCGGTGAAATGAATAGTTCAAATGAAACAGCAGTGTAGTTTTTGGCTTTTGTAATTTTATGAACTTTAGGTCAGGCATTTGACTGGCAGCCTATTAACAGTACTATTCTAATTGAGTTATATTTATTCGTAGAAAGCTTGTTTGGTTTACTAGAGTTTTGCTTCGAGTGGTACAATTTTCACTAATTATGTCGATCCATATTTGTCAGTATCTTAGACGTCATGTCCAACAGTCCAATTGACGACAATAATAGAAATTCGACCAAGGATTATCAAGTCAGACCCAAAAGAAATTACGCCCTCAGTTTATTTTAAAGTGTTTCTCTGGTAGAGCTAGGAAAAATGAATTATCGTTAATTTTTTACTTTTTAATTGTTAGATATGTATTAAAAATTGTCTATTTTGAATATTTTTTTTAATCTGATGTGATTTTAATAAGATTCAACAGTCAGAAATTGACACTATTGGTAGGCCTATAAGATAAAGTCTTTGTTAGGATTTTAGTTGAGTTTTACATTGCTAAAGTATAGTCTTAGCATGTGACTTTATAACCACTTGAACATCTTTTTTTTACAAGTTAGTTTTTGAGGATGAGTTCTGCTAAAGAGTTATAACAATTGGTATCAGAACATGTCCTTCCTTAGGCCCACGTTGCAGAAGGAAAGACCTGGGGAGAGGGGCAACCTGGAAAGGTCAAAGTGGGCTGCCGTGGACGTCAGTGTCGGAAGCGTAGTCATATGTTATGATTCTGGTTGAGTCTCCTATTATTAAAGTACGAACTTAACATGTGAGTTTATAACTACTTAGACACTCTTT